GACCCAGGCGCCTTCAAGCCAGTTCTTTTGGCACCAGAGGAAGATCCTGAATCTTCAAAATAGGCCATTTGACTTGGGGTTGTGGTTTTGCTCCGGCACTCACAACCATTGAGGAAGAGGAAACCTGGTGAGGCTTCTCAGTTTCAAACCCCTTGGTCCCAGGACTAATAGAGACTGTAAAGTGTGTTTTCCTTCACCCCTCTAGGGTTTTCCAGTTTATTGCATTGAAGAAATGACTTTGTGACAAATAAAACTTATTTTGAGTTATTTACATCGTTTTGGGTTCTTGGGAGTTCCAGTTTCCTAAAGGAGGGCAAGAAGCAATCCCTTGGGGGAAAGATGCCACGTCCATCCTCCTTTTAAGACTAATAGCCCCCAAGCGCGACGGCACACTTGGCTATCAGAAGATCTGTGCATGACTGGTATGTTGAGAGAACTGTGAGACGCTTGTTGCGGAAACAGTTTCGACTTCTTCCATGACGGCTTCAGAAAACTTGTTCATTGTTGGCAGAAATGTATCCAATTGTTTGGTGATTATGTGGAAAAGTGAATAGTGGTAGTTAAAGAGCACATTCTAAGGATTATTTCTGCATTTAATTTATTAAAATATTCCCCTCCAACCCAAGTAACAAAGGTGGAGGCATTACTTTTCATTCAACCCTTGTATAAAAATCATCCTTCCTCACAACCCCGGTATGTTTTTACTATTATCAAGAGTATGTGTCATACTATTACCTTCTCCCAAATTTCCCACTTCTGTAATCTTATTGATGTATTTTTACAAGTTGATAAAAATAAAATCAAGAAAAGCAGTTGCCCCCATTCCCTTCTTCACCTTTTGGGGACAAAAGAAAAATAGTTATCAGCAAGGAATGCCAAGAATTTGCTGGAAGTTTCATGTGTTACTTTCAGAGTAGTTGGAGACCCCCTGTCAAAAAAAATTCTACGAATTCTCACTTCTTGGAAATACCAGTTTCAGGAAAGTGTTCTCCGTATATTCTCCTTCTCTACAGAAGTTACCATCAACTCTCTTGAATTTCTGTGTAGAAGTTCATATTTTTATCCTTTCATAGAATCATAGAATCAAAGAGTTGGAAGAGACCTCATGGGCCATCCAGTCCAACCCCATTCTGCCAAGAAGCAGGAATATTGCATTCAAATCACCCCTGACAGATAGCCATTCAGCCTTTGTTTAAAAGCTTCCACAGAAGGAGCCTCCACCACACTCCGGGGCAAAGAGTTCCACTGCTGAACGGCTCTCACAGTCTGGAAGTTCTTCCTCATGTTCAGATGGAATCTCCTTTCTTGTAGTTTGAAGCCATTGTTTTGCGTCCTAGTCCCCAGGGAAGCAGAAAACAAGCTTGCTTCCTCCTCCCTGTGGCTTCCTCTCACATATTTAT